GTCCAGGCTGGGCAGGCGGCCGCTGGTCGACACCCACTCGAGCCACGCATTCACCCGGCTGCCACGCTCCAGGCCGTCAAGAGTGACCTCAGGGCAACGCTCGAGGTTCGCCTCGGCGCAGTTGTTGCGAACGCGTAGCGCCATCTCTGGCTTGGCATATGAGTGCACCGCGGTCGGCCGAATAGTGAGGCCGTCGATGCCGTCGTCGAGGCAGCCGCCGTCGTCTGATTCCGCTCTGGATGGCTGAGGTTTCAGCGGAGGCTGTGGCGGTGACCGAGGCGACGTCATCTTGAAGAGGTGCCAGGGAACGCCCCAGCGTGGCGACGTCCTTGGACTGTCGCTTTTGGCGCTTTTGGGTGGGCTGGGAGCGTCAAGCACGTTGAGGATCTCATCGACCCCGATCGTGCCATCGTCAGCGTTATGCGGCTCCACTGCGAGAGATCGGGCATCACTCATCAGGATGCGGTGAGGCACTAGCACAGCGCGACAACTCCTGAGCACCCCACCAGCGTCTCGCTGGGACAGCAACACTCGCACCGCCGCATTTGCACTTATTTCTTTTTATCATGTCCTTAAAGTCCGATTGAAGGGTGCTAGGGTCGGCCCTTCGGAAGACAAGAAAGAAAACAGACATGTCCCACGATTTAAGAAACCAGCTGAAGTTGACTCCTCGTCGCTCGGAGAGCCCATCAATCGAGGCGGACGCTGGCGAGGTACTTCCAGCCTGCTGTGGGAACAGCTGACGCTCGCCGAGGCTGCTCGGGTTGACTCGGCCAGACAAAAACCCCGAGAGGCGTGGGAGTACCTCGCCAGGGCGGACGCCGTCGCTGTCTTTGGCTGGCGATGACAGATCGCGTCTGGATACCCGTGGCCGACGCCGATGCGTGGGCACTAGCAACCACCGTCGACGTCCGCGATGGCGACCTGGTCACACTCCGCCGCGATGGCACCGACCACACAGTACAGATGACGCGCGCCGAGCTTGAGGCGCTTCCAGCTGCCGTGCTGGACGAGGCGGTCGACGACCTGACTGCGCTCTCAAGCGTGCACGATGCCACCATGCTCGACACCCTGCGGCGGCGCCATGCTGCCGACGAGATCTTCACGTCCATTGGTCAGGTGGTGATCAGCGTCAACCCGTTCAAGCCCGTCCCATCGTGCACTCCCGACTCGATAGCGCGGCTTAGCCAGCAGGGTGAGGCTGCGCCACCGCACGTTGCCCGAGTGGCATCGGTCGCGTATCGCAAAATGACGGGCGACGACGGGTCGCCGCCTCGTGCGCAATCGATTCTCATCTCTGGCGAATCCGGCGCCGGTAAGACCGAGGCTTGCAAGCTGTGCCTCATGGCCCTCGCCAGTGTTTCCGGATCAAGTCAGGGAGCGACCGAGGGGGCGGTCGAATCCGCGCTCCTGCTCGAGGTTCGCTAGTTGACCTTTTGCATGGCCTCTTACCCTCTGACCCTGCCTGGCCGCTCCCTTACCCCGATTGACCTCTTGCCACCCTCTGACCCTGCCTGGCCGCTCCCTACCCCG